AAATGAAGGTCGCCCTAACAATAGGAACTACCGGTCACTACTTAAAGTGACCCAATGAATGTTATATGAGTCTTTCCTACAATGAAATGAGCAGGCATCGAAACGTCAATAAGTATCATACAGCCTTGTCTCCTGAAATGTTTTCCCTTACAGGCCGGCCCATATCTCATCAATACCTCCAAATGGGTTTCAATACCAGGTCTTGAGCAGCACGGCTACATGTTGACACTTCTCCAGTCTCAGTGAGTCACAGGGTAGATGCAACATTCAAGGCAAGCTTGATCTCCCATAATGGCATTTATTCTGGAATTGCCGATAAACGAAATATGCATTTGTGATTGCAATTTAATACGCTAAATATTCTTGATGTGAGGATATTTAGAATCGGTCATTAATTATTAAATATAAACTGATTTACTATACAGCTCTTAAGGGGGTTTAAGAATTGGGAGTTCGATTTTTACTACAATAATATACCGATTAATTTAACTTATCCTTGTTTCTCGAAATTTCTCCCAATCCCTTTTGTAAACGTGTCTAAATGAAACTCATCGGCACTATGAGACACTCTAAGAGTCCTTACTTCACTTTAGGGTACCTAATGCAAATATGCTCATATTCAAGAATCACTATCAGTTTTGAAAACTACTCTTATTGGAAATCAGCAAATTTTTGTTGATCCTGATCATCTAGCTAGTGGCTGATTAGCATTAATAATTTAGTTTTCTCTCGCAGTATTATCCTAGAGGGAGATCTAATTCATCAGAAGTAATACTGATATCCAAATTATTTAGTACTATGTGATAAAAACGCCTATAAATTCTGTAAAGATAATTTCCTAAGCTGTCATCCGTATCCGTTAACTTAATCAAACCTCCCATTAAATGTGTTGAGTTTGGACTCGTATGAGCATGGTTTTTAATTTATGCAGATCATGTGACTTTTTACTTCCTCATTTGAGCCTAGTTTTAACTGGCTTACTTGATACCATTTCGTGCTCCTTGTTAAAAGGACTGGGTACACCTGTAAGCCTATCAAAAATGTAAAATGTGTGAAAAAAAACAAACAAGTATTTGTTATTGGAATTGATGATATTACTTATTTTCAACGAAAGTAGGTTTCGAGACTATCAGTATTTCTTGAATAATAACTAAGTCAGCATAGGTCGCTTGAAGAGATTTTATGACGGAGAGTTATAAGGTAATGATAATTGAATTCCAACAGTACTGCTTAGACTATACATCTTACTGTAGGAGAACTCCTTTGCCAGTCTTTAAATCATC